TTTGTATACTTCAACATGCAGTTTTTAAAATTTGAAGCAGCTTCTATCTGAGTTGTAAGTGCAGGGGAAGTTATGACTGACATACACCAAGCTGTATGGTTCATTGCCTGAGAAGCAAGAGTGGAGGAGAGGAGGGAAATTGACAAGTTAAAAAAGCAAATAAATTAAAGATCTGTAAGTGGCTTTATTTTCTGAAAAATGAACAAGCAGGAAAAAGTCAATAAAAGCGGTTTGAAAGCCACACTAGTTGAATCACCAGCCCTCCCTGCCCTCCAGCCTATAAAGTGTTTAGTTTCCTCTCCACGGGGACTGTGATGACATGGGAAGGGACCACGTCACCAAGACGTCGCTGACGGGGGATGAGGAGACTTAGACAAAAAGCCACCTGCCCTGCTTTTCCCCGGAGCCAGCCATGTGCTTCAGTCTCCTCTGCTGTGTGGCCCTTTTGTTCTGGGGAGCAGGTGAGTTCCTGCTGTGAACTTGTCAGATTCCAGATCCGGGACTTTCTCCTGTGGCTGCAGAATCAGGCTCCTCCTGGGCTTTGTCTCCACTTTCTGTCTCTTTCCCCCGCAGGCTCCATGGACACGGGGGTCACCCAGAGTCCTGGACATCTGGTCAGAGGAAAGGAGCAGAGAGCAAAGATGCACTGTGTCCCCATAAAAGGACATAATTATGTTTACTGGTATCGTAAGAAGCTGGAAGGAGCGTTCGAGTTTTTGGTTTACTTACAGAATGAACATATCATACAAAAGACAGAAGGGTTTGAACAGCAATTTTCACATAAATGTCCCAAAAACTCACCCTGCAGCCTGGAAATCAACTCCACTCAGCCAGGGGACTCAGCGCGGTACTTCTGTGCCAGCAGTAAATCCACAGTGCTGAACGCTGGCTCTTCTTAGAACACAAACTCATCGTGGGCCCAGCTCAGGAAATCAGTGGTGTATGAGGTGGGAGGGGAGTAACAGAAACGCAACTTGAAAGACAGAAGGAGAAGCTGGTACATGGCAACTGTGGGTGAGCAGGAAGGGATGTTAGAACAGCTGATGGCACAGAAAGCCAGGGAAGGGGGAGGAAGCGGTAAAGGGGCTCAGATGCCCCAGCGTGCAGGGCGTCAGGCAGGGGAAAGACACGGGGTATGAGCCTGATGGGTTTCTAACAGTCTCTATGAGAAATGTAACTGTGTGGTTTTCACCTCACAAAGCTGTGCCTTCAGGAAGTTCGATGATTGGCAGGTGAACTTTCTCTCCTGGGGACCCTCATCCCCTGGCCCGGCACAATTCAAGATCCCGACCCAGACTCTCCTGTGGGTTCATGACTGCTTGTCACAGCTGTCCCTGCCAGAGCAGCTGAGGGCGCTCTGCAACCCCCTCTCTCCCAAACGCTGGGGTTGTCTGTGGTTTCAAGCAACCTTCAAGCATAACCTGCCCACAATTAAATGCACCATTTTTTAAGTATATATTTCAATACTTTTCGCAGACTTTTACACTCATGTAACTAGCATGACAATCAAGACCCAGAACATTTCCCTCTCCCCTAATAGTGTCCTCATGCTGCTCTGTCAAGGTCTTTAACATCTCTCAACATTGCTTTGTAGTTTTATCATACATGTCTTGTACTTTTTGGATTTTAAAAATGTATTATGATTTTATTTTAATACTCATAAAGAATGTATTTATTTAAAGTATTTTCTGCCAAGACTTCACATTAGTCCACTTCAATTTAGTCTTTGCATTTCTCAGCTGATGTCTGAGCCTCAGTATCTCACAGAAAAATACCTTCTCCAGAAAAAGTGTTCACCAGCAACCACACCTGGGTCACACCACTGGCCTTACTACCTGTGTGACCAACTGTTAGTACTGCTCTGTGTTGAAGTAAAATAGACAATTCAAACATGTTGAAAAAGTTATGAAACTTTGGCAGTGTGCACTTTAAGAAGTCTCACTGTTTCCTTATGAAAGTAAACCTTTGAGTTAAAAATACCAAAGAGGGTTATTTGACAGTGAAGCACATGACTTACAGAGATGAATTTCAGCGTCACAGCTCTGCTGGTCAATCTGCAAGTGCTCTTCTTGTTCCTCTTGTGGGCCATTTCATCAGGTTTCTAGCCCTACAAGACAGTCATCTTTCTCCTTACTCTGCTATCAAATAAATCTGCTGTCCCTTAGTTTTCAGTATCCAGATTGAAAATCTCCTCATTTTGACTGGGTCATTTTGAGTGCTTGTATTTAATATGGTTAGCAACATATTTGGATGAAAATGTCATTCTTGCTCTTTGTTTGGCTTCTTTCTTCTACCCTATTTGCTCCTTCCCTTTCTGGGTAATTTTTTTTTTATTATTGATTTTTGGTTTATCCTTTCAGGGTTATTTCTGAAAATATACAAGCATTCCAGATATGAAATTATTGCATTAGAGGCATGGAAAGGGTGCAGGCTGTGAAATATTTTGCAATACAGAAAACAGTGCTTAACAACATAACCTTTTTCATTATTTACTCCTCGAGCTACCTCTGAAACATGACTCTCCTTAACAATGAATGCAGTGAAGATCTTGAATCCACTAGAATTGTCTAAAATTCCATCAATGAGAATAGCACACATGTAACTATTCACTGGGATCTGAAGTGTCTCAGAAATAGCACACACACCATCGTTGTAGGGGATGGTTTTAACGTATAGTCTCTGTCAATATTCTTACTGTTCCATTTGGGGGATGCTGTTTCTGATTACAGGGTTTCTCAGCACAAGCCTCATTCTTTCACACAAGTGTATCTCTGCCACGTCGTGTCCCTGCCACTTTCTATCCCAGTAGTGCCCCTCGAGAGTCGCACGTACATCTTAGTAACAAAGATGATATGGACAACAGAGATGGTGAAAGTAACTGATGGTAAAGATGGTGTATAGAAAGATGGATACAGATATTAAATCACATTTCCAGGACTGGAATACAATCATAGTAAGTCCTGTTACTGTCATAATTTAGGTCTGTAAATCAGTCTAAAAAGAGTTTTTTTTTAAATCAGGACACCTTTAACAAATCTGAGGCAAAATATTTGAGGATACATCGACTTCCTAATCCTTTCTGTTCATGGATTTCAGTACCAAGAACATTCTCTTCTAAAGCAGAAATTTTTAACTTGGGACCCATGGACTTCCAAGGGGTGCAATAATAGAATTCAGGAATCCATAAATTTGAGTGGAAAAAATGTATCTTTATTTTCACTAATCTCTAACTAAACTACAGCATTTAGTTCATAATAGCTGTCGTGAATAAAACGTAGCAGTGTTAGTAGAACCTGTGACAAAATCAATAATAGAAATCCCAGATATTTGCATAAATACATTTGCATATCAGTCCATTTGGTTATCAGCACATTACAGTTGATATTGAAGTCCCAGATATTTTCATATCACATTACAGAGTAAATATCATTACTCTCATCACTTGCTACTTGGAAATCATGGCAGTTTTCAGAATCACCAGGATATATTTTATTAAATGAACTTTAAAGATGTTTATGTATTAATATGTTATACGTTTTATTTAAAATGTCTTGGTAACTGCACTTCAAAATAATTGGTTTCCTTTGTAATACTACGTGTTCTATTTTGAGTTTAAAACGCTTTTTCTGAGAAGGGGTTTCTAGGATTTACCAAAATGCCAAAGGAGTCCAAGTGTGAGGAATGCGGTCCTCAACTTGGTAGAGTGAGAACCTCAAGACTGGGCCCGCTGGTTGGAAGAGAGCTGTCGGCTGGCATTGTTTCTCAGAGTTCTACCCTGTGGCTGCACTCTCTAATGATTCCCATTCTAAATCATTCTATCATTTCCTTTCCCCTTTTCTCTCTGGTCTCGGTCTCTGTTTCACACACGCCTTTATTCTAGATGGTGGCAGCAACAGTGAATCATCAGTTTCCAACCAAGTTTCATCATAAAAGTATCTTTTCTTACAGATGACCCCAGAAATAAAAATAAAGCAAACATTTGTCTACCAAAATAACATTTGATAAGAAATAATTAATCTATGATCACATTTTTGTTTATCTAAGATTCTCGCGAATAAATGATATTCTGCAATGAATGTATACTCACTATATACATTTCAGCTCAGCACTGGGAATAATATTTTTGCTATCTTGCACAATCCTATGTCAATAAATGTCTGAGTTTCCTTGACATGGTATTAACTTCCTAAATCTTGTGGATCAGATAACAGCTCCAGAAAATAATCATAGCAAACACAAAGACGGTGCTTATTCTGTGTTAAGAACCCTTCTTAATTCTTTATATGATATTCACAAGTTTTGAAGTAGATGCTCATTCTACCCATTTTACAGATGAGAAAATCAAATCAAAGGGAGGTTAAGGGACTTGCTCAGGGTTACACAGCTGCTAACCGGCAGGGCCAGGACTCAAGCCCAGGTTGCCTCCCAATTCCCCGCTCTAATCCGCCGCCACTGGGGGAGGGTGGGTATAGGGATCTTTGCTATTGACTGCAGTCGTCTCTACTCCATCTCTTCTATGTCAGTTATTTATTACAAATGCAGAGGATGGAGAACACTGACCCCATCTTACAGCACAACATCTGAATCTCTTCTTGTGTTTGGAGTTTCCCCACTAACAGTATTGGTGGGAAACAGCAGTCGATGGGCAGGCAATAGACTGAAAATTGTAGGTATTTCCTAGTTTTCATCACAGCAAGTACACAGGCACGTGACCCTCTGAGTGTGGCTCTGACCAGGAAATGGGGGATTCAATCTTCTCACCATGTGGGCACCTGTCCATTTAGAAGGGATATAAAGTGCTCCATAAGGCAGAAGAGATGATACAAATGTCTTGATCTCTCTTAGTCTTATTTCTCCATCTGCAAAATCAGCTGTGACAGTCACCTTATAGCAATGACAAATTCTGCGTCTTGAGCCAGGGGGAGCCCGAGATCCCAGCCCCTTCCCTTGGCCTCTCTCAGACTCTGTGTCTGGAGCTTCACAAAGAGCCAGCCCTTGCCATGTGCAGCTGGGCCCTGTGCTACGTGGCCCTCTGTCTCCTGGGTGCAGGTGAGCCCAACACGCACTCAGTACAATTCTACCCTGGATGTGCAGACCCTCACTCTGACACTCTCTTCTCACTACATTGTCGGGCTCCCCTCTGGGCGTTATCCCCAGCCTCTGTATCTTTACTGTACAGGACCCACGGATGCTGAAATCTACCAGAGGAGATTCCTGCTTGCTGAAGCTGGATGGGATGTGACCCTGGAGTGCAAACAGAGTCTGAGATACAATGCCATGTACTGGTACCGGCAGGACCCGGGGCCAGGTCTGAGGCTGATTTATTACTCAACGGTTGAAAAGGATGTTCAGAAAGGAGACATATCTGAAGGCTACAGTGTCTCTCGAGAGGAGAAAGGACTGTTTCCTCTCACTGTGAAGCTGGCCCACATCAACCAAACAGCCTTGTACGTCTGTTCTGGCAGCGCACCACGGTGGAACACGGCCACCGCCCATCAGTGCACAAACCCGCTCCAGCCCTGCGGCCTCCACTACAGCCTCTACCTAAAACGTTTTAAATGTCCCTCTGCTCAGCATGCTTCCCTGCACTATGCATTCTGAGTCAATGACTCATGGACCTAGAGATGATCGTATTGAGTGAAGTAAGTCAGACAGAGAAAGACAAATGTCATATGATATCACTTACATGTGGAATCTAAAAAAAAAAATACAAATTCTATTTACAAACCAAAGACAGACTCACAGACATAGAAAGCAAACTATGGTTATCAAAGGGGAAAGGGTGGGGAGGGATGAATTAGGGGTTGAGGGTTAACAGACACCACATTATTATATATAAAATAAACAAGAACCTACTGCATAGCATAGGGAACTACATTCAATTTCTTGTAATAAGCTATAGTGGAAAAGAATCTGAAAAGAAACTATACATATTTATATTTATACATACACATATGTATGTATATGTATAACTGAATCACTTTGCTGTACACCTGAAACTAACATTGTAAATCAACTACACTTCAAAAAAAAATTAAAAAAAAAAAAAACACAGGAGAATAGACCCAGAAGATACATTTCAGCACTTTGGGGCCTCGGTCTTTTAATCGCTCCTTATACATTCACCTATATTTTTCCTTGACATTTCCCTGTGTCCCGCCACTTTTCCAGATATAAAGGATAAAAAATTAAATAGAAAACAGATTCGTTCTCCAAGGAGCTACTAGTCTAGTAAGAAAGTAATTATAATCAATTTGAATATAATTTAATACATTGTAATTTCATATATCGCAACACGATACAATATAACACTGCAATCAGAAGCTCTTTGGTTGCTCTGGGGAAGATATGACAGTTCTGCCTGGTGGTGGATCAGATGAAGCTAAGAGAATGTGAGCTTCACCAGATGGATGTCATTGCGTGTAGAACATTCATATTAAAGAGAGTCACATTTGGCAAAATTGAAAGATGAGAAAGTACATGATCAACTGATATGAATTTTATCCAACTGAACAAATTTGAGAGAGTTGATGGAATGGAGTTTCTGAACAAGGTGACTTTCTGGTTTCATGGATGTGAGTATAGAAATCTCTTGTGGGCTAATGCTCAAAAGATGGAACTGAAACGTGAGAGAAATACTCAGTTGTCACCAGCAGACAGGCGATCAATACAATTTTTCAATGGTCTCTAGATGACTTTGGTTCCTTATAAAGGCACAACTTCATGTTATCAGTAGCATTTCCCATTTGGATAGTAGAGTTTGAATTATTTATTGGATAATAAGATAAAAATTGGAAGTAGGCAGTTGTACATACAGATGTGAATAGAGCCTGGCTAGAGGTACAGGTTCTGTAGAACTCAGCATATCAAGAATTAAACTTTGGGGCCAGAAAAGTCCACCCAAAATATAGATTTAGGTTGAGATAAAATACTTGGAAACATAGATTATGGTATTGCAGTTCTTTAAGGAGATAAAAGAAGGCAGAAATGGACTATGTAAGGATTGATCAAGGTATAAAACCTTTAAAAAAAGGGAATTAAGAGCAAGTGTGAGCTTTGGGTTGTCTAATGTTGATATTTATAAGAAAATGAAAAAAGTAAAGGTGATCAAAGCAGAAAAAGCCACAAACACTTCTTGGGTAACTTGTAGGAATAGGGGAAGGGTCATATATTAGCTTATTCTGGACAGTAAGAGATTTTACATTGTAGTTTCTTCAGGACATCTTTAGAAATACATGAGGCAGAGGTGAGCTTCTGATGAACCACCAAAGCAGGCAGTGGGAAGCCTCTGTGAAAGGAGTGTGGGTCTGTCTACCAATGGCTGACGCCAGAGGAGACTCTGAGGATGTGGAAGAAATAAAAGGCGTTGGAAAGAGGAGAGTGATGAGACACACAAATACTGTTCCCAACCAGGTATATTTCATGGGATATAGATATATAAATATATATATACATATATAAAGCTATATATATTATTCACATGTATACACAGATGTGAATGATATTCTAAACATAAACACCTGTATATCAGAAACAGATTTAGGAAATTAAATCAAACAAAGATATCAAATATACATACTTGGGAATAAATTGAGCAAAAGTAGTGAAAGTCCTCCATGAAACGAAGAATATATATATGGCCTTATTAACACCATTAGAGAAGGCTTAAATAAGTGAAGAGATCCTATATTTACAGGTTGGATAGATTTGACAATTTTAAAATGTCCATTTTTCCAAGTTGACTTATATACTTAACAGAATTCAATCAAACTCCCAATATGTTTTTGATAGAACTTGATAGGCTAAATCTAACTTTATATGATGCTGCAAAGGGCAGTGAGTAGCCAGGACACTCTTACAGTAGAAGATAGAAGAGGGAGGACTGTAACAAGTGTTAAGAGTCATTATAAAACCACAGAAATCAAGGTACAGTGTGGCATAGGAACTGTGGGCTTTTTCCGTGGATTTATTTATACAGGTACACATACACACAGAGATAGTACCACAGAAGACAAAGAACAGATTTTCAACAAATGCGGGTGGGACTATTGGTTCTGTATGTATGAAGAAAGATGAAACTGGCCACTTACCTCACAACAGCCAAAATCAATTCCAGCTGTGTTCAAAGCATAAACATAGTCAAATCATGAAACTTTAAGGATAGGGGCACATTTTCATGTTCTCAAGGCAAGAAAATCATTCTTAATCTCCTTAATCATTAACGAACAAATTGACTGAAATGACTCTATCAAATTTAAGATATTTAATCCATCAAAGTGAACTATGCAAGAGTGAACAAATAGCTCCATAGTGAGATATGATTATATTCCTATTTTTCTATCCATAGCTACACTTATATGTCCAAGATGTATATTATATTTGTATATCCAAGAAAGGCTGGTGTATAGAATTTATAAAGGACATCTACAAATTACTATACTTTTTTCTATACATTAGTGAGAAAAACAATAATAGAAAAATGTATAAAAAACACAAACAAGCACCTCACAAAAGAAGAAATTTATTTAGTCATGAAACATGCAAACATTGGTAAATTTCATTATGACTGAGTCTGCAAAGTGATGACAACACAAGAAGGTTGTTGATGGGGATTTCAAAGCCTCATCCTTTTGCTATATTGTTTCCACCATGGGCACCTGGTTCCTCTGCTCTGTAGCCCTTTGTCTTCTGGGAGCAGGTGAGTCCTAAGCACAAAAGAAAAATCTTGTTCTGGGTTTGCTAAGACCCACACCCAAGTCTTGTCAGGTTCCCTTTTTGTCTGTAGCTTCTGCTTCCTTCTCTTATAGGCTCTGTAGATGCCAGTGTCCCCCAGACTCCAGGACACTTGGTGTAAAGCAAAGGACAGAGAGCAAAAATGGATTGTATTCCCCCAAAAGGACATACTTTTTTAAATTGGTATCAACAGATCCAGAAAAAAGAGTTGAAGTTTCTAATTTCTTTTCAGAACGAACGAGTTCTTCATCAAATCGAGTTAGTCAAGAAGCGATTCTCAGCAGAATGCCCCCCAAACTCACCCTGCAGCCTGGAAATCCAGTCCTCTGAACCAGGAGACTCAGCACTGTATTTCTGTGCCGGTAGCCAACCCACAGCGCCGAAATGTTAGTTCCTTCTAGTGCACAAACTTACCACAGACCCAACTCAGGAAGCAGGTGATCTATTAGGTTGGAAGGATGTAACAGGAGTTCCCTGGAGCTAGCTTAAGCCACAGTGCAATCTAATACAAGGCTAAAGGGTGCTTAGCAGAAGCCAAGGAGTGATGGACAGACAATGATGAGATATACTAGATATTAGCCCTCTTTTTTATTTTAGACATTGAAATACCACCTTCCTATATGACGTCATCTGCATCCCAGACTCCAAAGAACCACTGGGCGTGGGGGAACCGGGGGTCTCTCTTCTCGAGCAGGCACATGTCATTGTCTCTGTTACATGAATCTCACCTTGTTTTCTCCCTTTCCCAGTCCCCTGGGCATCCAGATTGTGGCCTCCCCTATTATCACTCATGTCTTTGTGAAGAATAGAAAAGCTTTTCTATCATTTCTGGCCCCAAGACTACTCATCACTCCTCAACAGCCCCCTTTCATCTGAAAATGCTGAGAAAGTGCTTCATCCACTCAGCTGTGCTGTTTGCTCCCTGGAGTCAACTTGATTCAAACAAATTTCTTTCTCTCTCTTTTTTCTAAGTGGATTCTGCTGCACAGGGCAGCAAAAATTCACAAATTTTTCTTAAAGACTTAATATTTATCCACATGTTATCTACTTTTAGAGCCAAATTCCATCCAGTACAATCATCGATTCTATTGAGCTCTTGACATGACAGCTAATTCATTTAAATTTCACCAGTGTGGCAGAACAACTCCCATTCACTGAGGCTTAAAAGGGCTGAGAAACTTTGGGGGGTGCAACACAGAATTTCAGTCTCTGGGAACAGAGGGAAGAGTAAACGAGCCATGAAAAATGTATTTCAAAGAATGTGTGTAGTTATGGCAAGTTATAGATTTTTTAAATGAAAAATATGAGAATGTTATATGCTCTGTGGGGAGCAATTACTCATTGGATAAATTAAAACAAATTCCTGAGGAATAACTTTAGGGAAACAAATTTTAAGCATTTACCATAAAGATGAGAATAATGATTTTAGAAAAGAACAAAACCAACAACTTTGTAGGAAATGAGAAAATGTGAATAGAAAAAATTTTTTTCATGTAAATTTGGAAAGGAATAATATTTGTGAAAAAGTGTTTAAGAACACTTTAAAAATGATTCAAGTTATCCAGTTTGATAAAGAGCCCAGTCGAAGGGTTCCTTTTATAAACTACTGATAATGGTGTCAGTTTGACAATAGGAATCAAGAACTTTAAAAATGCAAAAGCATTATGATAATTCTATCGTTATAATAAGAAAAACTTGGAAATTTGGCTTCAGGTTTCAAAATGGACGGTTGTTACTTACTTGCCCTACACACAGAAGCCACTATAAAACCTGACAAAAGTCTTAAGGCAGCAGTGTCCAGATATTGGACAGCAGGCAGGGGAGGGCTGTCAGCACTGAGAAGCGGAGACATACAAGTCCCTGCCTTGGTACAGTTTCTGGATGGCAGCACAAGGGCGTGGAGACCAAGCCGAGCACAGGGGCCTCGCTGAGACCCGAGTTCAGGGCTGTGGATGTGGCTGACTTTGTAGGGGAGGGGAAGCTGCTATGGAGAAAGGAGCTGTGCACAAACAGAGCTCCCAGTATGGCATGGGGTCCTCTTTATTATTTATTTATTTTTCATGGAGTCCTCTGTAGTCTTTGGTCAAATGGTAACAGTAGACGTCTACCAGAGAGAGCACCCCCAAGGCCTGGCAGAGAGCAGTTGCTGGGGAGCTGTGAGAGGAATGGAGGTTCTGGGGGTCATACAGTCCAGGGAGACAGGACTCCTGAGCAGCCAGAGTGGACAGACTTTGCTGACACCCTGAGAATACACTTGGCACCACCAGGGGGAAGCAGTCACACGTCGGGAGATGGGCCACCCAGGTCCTAGAGTGACAGCCACGCCAGAACTGCCCTAACAATGCTCAGCAAGCCTCAAAGGGATCCAGCTGATTTGCCAAGAAATTCACTGCCTTTTAGAGAAAAATAATCAGCACTCATTAAATAAAGCAAAAAAAAATCTAGACTCTTAACAAGGTAGTATACACAATTTGAATCATGCAACAACAAAGTGTTAGACTTGGGAATAAATGGGAAAATATGACCCAATGTAGGAAAAAATGGCAGCAGAAACCAACCATGAATAACACAGATGCTGGGAACTTCAGACAAGGATTTTTAAGGAGCTGTTACAAAAATGTTCAAGGATTTAGAGGAAAATATGACATAATTTGATTAATCGATAACAGTGATAAACCCGGAACAGTCAAGACAAAAAAGGAAAAAACACAAGTTACCATATCAATGATGCAAAGGAGATCATCTCCATAGATCCAGCAGACATTAAATGGTAGACTGTCATAAGAATACGCCAATCAATTCTACAACTAGGTGAAGTGAAATTATTTGAAAAACGCAACTTATCAAACTGACTAGAGATGAAATTAGGAATGTGAAGAACCTTATTTGAAGGAAATTTAATTCTTTATCAAAAACATTCTTTCAAAGGAAACTACAAACCTGAATTCCTTTCCTGGTGAATTTTTTCAAACATTTCAGAGGAAAAAATGCCAGCTTTACCTAACTTTTCTTTTTTTTTTAGAAAATAAGAGGTAGAAACAATTCATAACTCATTATATAAAACTAGCAAAACCCTAATGCCCAAATCTAAGATATTACAGAACACTATCCTATATGACCGTAGGTGAAAAGATTTTTCCCAACATGTTAACAAATCCAGCCCAAATGCATTTGTGTAATGTGTGCATGTGTGTATGTGTATGTATCTGTGCATGTGATAATGCATCAGGACCCAGTGAATTTACTGCAAGAGGCACAATGAGTTAGCACTCAGAAATCAATGGATGTCATCATGCTAGCAAAATAATGAAGAATAACCATTTTACCATCTCAATAGGTACTGAGAAAACATTTGAAAAATCCAGTACTTTCAAAATGAACACTCTCAGTCCTGGTAATAGAAGAGAGCTTTCTCAATCTGATAGAGCCTATCAATGAAAAATTTACAGCTACCACCCAACGTAATGGTGAATATTGGACACATTCTTCCTATAATCAGGAACAAGGCATGACGTTTTCTCTCATTAGTTTTCTTCAACATTATATTGGAAGACCTAAACTGTGTCATAGGCCAAATAAAAACGAAATAAAAATCCTAAATACTGTAAAAGGAGAGGTGAAATTATCACTATTTTCAGATTGTTTATATTATATAATATTTATTAGATTATATTATTTATATATATTTATAAACTTTATGTATTTATAAATTATAAATAAATTTATATTTATTATATAGAAATTATATAAATAGATTATTTATATAGAAATCAGTGATCCACAACTAGAAACAATTAGTGACTTTAGAAAGATCACAAGATACCACATCAAAATTAAAAATCAGATGTTTCTAGACTAGTTGCAAACAACTGAAAAATAAACTTTAGGAAACAATTCCATATATAGTAGCATCAATAAATTTAGCAAACGATGGTCAATGAAGAACTACAAAGCATCACAAATGGAAACTAAAGAAAATACTAAAAATGAAAAGATATATCCTGTTTATGGATTGAAAATTTTAAAGCATTACGATAGCAACTTTCTCAACAAATAATATTGAAACAAATGGATGATTACATGGGAAGGAATGGACTTTTCTGGTACCTCATCCCATGAACTAAAATCAATTTGAGATGGGTCATAGGACTAAGTGTCAAAGCTAAAACTACAAATCTTCTAGAAGAAAACACCCTTGAGAGTTGAAGGTAGACAAAATTTTCTTTTGACTAACTAGTGATAAAACATCATTTCTCCTTTGGCATTCTTTGTACCGGAGGACATTTGTTATACAGATTAATGATTCACAAATGAGAAGAGTGTTCTCAGCGTCCCTAAGATCACCTACGAACACACAGCACGTATGTGGCAAGGAGCATGGCATGTGGGTAAGACCGAGAGGCCTGTGCTCTGCCTGTGGTGGAAGGTAAATCAGAGGAAAAGGGGATTATAGATAAGGTTTGCAAGCCATATGAGCCGCCCAGAGTAGAGGGAATATTGGTCCATTCCAACAAGGACCTTCTCGGTTGCCCAGAAATTAGAATGTCTTTTTCAATTCCCTTCGCATCCGTTATGTATCTCTCCCATTCATTCCTCTGATAATAGTCTCTCACTCCTCCTCAGGCATAGATTCTGCTCCCAGAATGATTTCTGCGCCTCCGCTCCTTGCCTTGTGTCTACAGACTCCTCCCGTAGGACTCCACCGGACCTGACTCCTCTGTTCTCTCAACTGATGTGACCTCGCCCTCAATAATAGGTTGTATTCAGCTCCCAAATCTCTCTTCCACTCAAATCATTGCCTTCAGCAGGGGGCAGCAAATGAGCATGTTTAAGAATTGCAAATTAGGGCAATTACATTTCTCCCATTAAGGACAGGACCAACTGATGATTTTTTATTATAATGACCTTGTTTGTGTTCATTGAACCCAAGGATATGCAATTTATTGGAACAAGTCCACATTTCTATTGGTATTATTAATGGAAAACTCCACTCAGAAAGAGAGACAAGGGAGAGAATAGTGGAATGTGTGATATGGAATGATGCACTGGCTGTACAATGTGCTTGGGTGCTCCAAATAAATCAGGAACTGTGCAAAATAACACAGGAGAGAGAGAAGCAAACGGGGAATAAACAAGACAGGCCATGCGTTGATGATTATTGAAGCCAGGTAATGTGGGGACATGGAAGCTCATTATACTATTGTATGTACTCTGTATGTGTTAGAATGTTTCATAATCAAAAGAAAAAAGATTAAGAAGGAGATTTTTCAATGTTATATGCAGCAGGATTGACTGGTGTGAGATGCCATGATGTATCCACGGACGAGGGGGAGCCAGGACAAGACCAGGCCACCAACTTTGCCTATTACGTCCATCACACAGGATTTCACACCATTGTTGTCTCACTGTGCCATATTTGTAATTTGTTGCACTGAAATACTGAACACTTTCCTCCTAAAATCAGGAACAATTTATGTTATGCCAAAAATATTTCTTTAAGGAACCATTTACAGTTCATTCAAAATATGAGTGAAGATGTTAAGTATTGCTTTGAAATCCCAAACCCTACCCACATTGAGTGAGTGCCTTCCTGCCATGAGCTAATACTTTAAGCGAAGATCTGCATCTAGAAAATACTGACCAAAAAAGCAGCAGCCCCTAAAGAGCAGTGGCAACTTGGAACAAAGGTATCATGCTTCCCTTCTCTTTAAAAAAAAAATCTCAACATTTATGGTGAATATATTCAAATCACATAGCTTACCTAGACCTGAGTTAGAAAAAATAAATGCAGGAAAAAAAAGAGAAATGTTACAGGGTCACAGCCTTCCAGTGAGACTAGACTCCTTTTATTTGAGAGGATTCTGAACTTTCTCTGTGCCCTATTCAATTGGGACGGTGATGCTTCCTTGAACAACTGAAACAGACAGGTTCTGAGAAGAGGGAGAGAGACTGCTTTCTGACAGATGGCAGAGAAGAACCAGGAAGCGGAAGGAGCAGGAGTTTCTGCATCCGCTGATAGGACACACACTAAGTAAGCCAAAGCTCCACCGCCAGACGAGTGCAGCACTGAAGGTTAGATCCTTGGAGGGTGTGGTGGGAAGGGGTGTGGTTGCATCTTTCTCGAGACCCAGTCAGTTGGGAAGGACAATGACATCACCTACTGAATCCTTGCAGTTTCCTATTTCCATGTCCTGTTCCCCCAGCCCTCAGAGGTGGAAACATCTCCATCCTGCCTCTCCCCACCATGGGCTCCATGCTACTCTGCTGTGTGGCCTTTTGTCTCCTGGGAACAGGTGAGTTAGGGAAATATAGGGAATCCGTGCCTTAAATTTTTCCAGTCATGGCTGAAGCTTCTTCCTCAAGACTGTGGCAAGAGGACCCTACGCAGACTTTCTCTAGTTTCTGTCTTGTTTCCTCACAGGCTCCATGGATACTGGTGTGACTCAGACCCCACGGAATAGGATCACAAACACAGGAAACAGTGTTTTACTGGAATGTTCTCAGACTAAGGGTCACGATTATATGTACTGGTATCGACAAGACCCAGGACTAGGGCTCCGGCTGATCTACTCCTCCTACAATGTCAATGATACCAACAAAGGAGAGCTCTCCAATGGCTACAGGGTCTCTCGTATGGAGAAGGAGAAGTTCTTCTTGTTCCTGGAGACTCCCGTCCCCAGCCAGACAGCCCTTTACCTCTGTGCCAGCAGTTATTTGCACAGTGCTTCCTGCCCACCTGTGCTCTGCACAGGAAGACCAGCACATTTGCTCAGGAGGGCTCAGAAGTCTTCCTGGATGCAAGATGTAGGATCCTTCAAGGTCATTCTGTGCCTGGGTGAGCCTCCATCTGAACTCAGGGCCACCTTGGGTTAGGGCTCCCAGGCCACGGGATGACTCCAAAAGCACAGGCTAGACTAGAGCTATCCTCTGACCCTCGTTACCTGTTCTGGTGGGGCTAGCCCAGTAGTGTCCTCCTAGGAGAATGAACCTGAGCATTTGGGAAAACCATGATGGTTTTCAATAAAAGCATCTCTTGTTGGCTCTTCTACAGTGTGGTTTTCAGTGGTCCTGTGGCACCTGTCTCCCTCCACCCACTCTGCAGCATCCCCACCCATTCTGTCCCTGCTGATGGCCCCTCTACCCTGCCAGCCTTTCTCAGTCCTGGGCCCTCCAGATCCTGCTGTTTAGCTCTATACGTGGTTGCCTTGATACTGAGAACAAACAGACTAGCTTGTTTTCTAAAACTTCGTTCTAAGTAAATTTAATTACCATTCAATTTGACTCAGAAGGTGGAGTTCAACTACCAGAGATAGTGATCTATAAAAATTATCTTTCATCTACTGCTCCATACTTGAATCTGTCCTGAGATTAATCTTAACCTGCAGGAGCAGAAAGACTTGTTTCATTTCCTGGATGTACTGAATTCAAAAAAATACGCCTACTGTCCAACATGGAGGCAAAGCTAGGAGCTTGGAGATTCCTCTTTCTCTCAAGGCATTGGAAAAAAAGACCCTGACTGCCCTGCAGGGAGAACCCTCTTAGGAGCCAGTGAACTGTAGGCACAAAGCTACTTAATCAAGGACTGCTAAGCATGATGTAAGAGTCTGCCTGCGGACCAGGTTAAATCCTTCCTAATGTGCTTTCTCTTCTTACCTTGGAAGCCTTAGTTATTTCAACAGAAGAATCCACAGGATCTGGTGATGTTCAGACACAAAGAACCAAATTGCTTTTGTTTTCTACCGCTTTTAATCTGGGCGAGGGGTGAGTCATACTTCTTTTTTGTTTTCCAGTGTCCTTCATGAGTTCTGTTTCATGTTTTCCCTTGGAAAAAAAAATCAGTTTTCTATGGAGTTTTGTTCCCAGCATTCTATACACACTTCACAGGCAATCTTACCTGTAATAATAATTCTTCTCTCATGAGCTGTAACTGTTCCATTTTACAGTCTACTGGACATTTGTAGTAGATTTCCCTGGACTTTTCTTCTGCATTTTTCCCCCTCAGTATAAATATTTTCCCTTAACCTTCCCATCCATGGTTTTGACAATTTCTTGCATGAGTTCCTAAATGATAAATTCAGTCTTCTCCTCAACACTTCCAGCTGGATGGCCTACAATTCAAACTCAAGTAATTTATTGCTGAATTTATTGCCTCCCCGCTCCTACATGCATCCACTCTGGCCCATATATAGTACTTCTGTCTCAGTGAGTGGAATGATGGTTCTAAGTTCCTCTTTTCCATTAGTCCTCACATTACATCCATTGATAAATCTATTCCTTCTATATTGCACATTGTCATCAATTTGGTTTTCTGGAAAATGGACTTTACAAGGGACATTAGTGTTCAGGAAGATTATTAGAAAGTGCCCTTATGATCAACATGGGCAGGAGGGAAAAGAAGGAAGTTGCGTGGGGCAGAGGAGAAGCTGGGCAGTCCTGCAGCCTCCACAAAGGCCTAAGCTGAGTCCACAGGGTGCTGGGAGGTGGAGGTGGCCCCTAGAATTATCCAAAGAGGAGGTGAGGAGCCCGGGTCTCATGCCCGCTTTCAGTGCAGCCATATTGGACACGATGGCCCTGAGAAGGGGGCTGCCCTCAGGGGAAGAGGGGTCCCTTTAGCCAAGACAACTCACAAGGAGGGCCGCCAGCCAGCAGCATGCCTAGCAGGCAGGGGAGATGGCCTTCATGCCTAAAGGGACAGACAGGAGACTCATCACAGTTTCCAACACACACGCTTATCTGATTCAGCTGATCCTGTCCTTCTTCGTTGCCTCTACTTTACTGCAGGCCCTCATCACCTGTCACTTAGAAAAGATGCAGTGTTCTTCTCACTGGTCCGCCAGCCTCTTACTGCATCGGCTCTCCTCTGTCTTGGACATTCCCACCAGCCTGACTGAGTCCAACGTTCTCCACAAAGCCCTTCATGAAGAGGTCTCTGTCTAAAAGTATGACCAAGTCTTCCAAATTCACTGCAGAACTTGAGAGTCCAGCTCTGCCGAATGTTTCGTATTTCACTGAAGGGGCCAAGCCAAATCGCATGGCCTCACCTTTGCAAAGGCTTCTCCTGTGTCTGAAGTGGGTCACTGCTGCTTGACCGCCTGGCTCACTCTTGCGTGTCCTTTCATTCTTAGCTGTGAGATTAGCTTCTCCATAAAGGCTCTTCTGACTCCTATAGACAGGGAAGACTCGGCTCCTATCCATTCTAAAACTACCACAGTTGGCGTATTCTTTCATAAATCACTTTATGCTCACCCTTCCCGAGACTGTGTTCTTTAGTTTGAGAGTGATGTCCCTCCAGTTTGACACCCCTAGAACTGAGAACATTGTTTGATTGAGTGAAGAAAAAGTAGAAGGATGGGACGGAGGACAGGAGAGGGAAATAGACTAAAACATTTCTCAAGTAGTTCAGGATTTTCTTCCAAATAACATGTTTTCTGAGCTCTGGTGGGTGTTTAAGTCCTCCACACACCCCCCCACCCTGACCTGCAAGTCCTTTAAGCATAATTATATAAGAAGACAAAGAAGACTAGAAAATGAGACAGGGTGTTTTTACTGGACCAAAAAATGCATACAGATGTATGTAACAATTATCTCTGATGATTCCTGTATCCCTAATTGTTGACATTTAGAAATTCTCGTCAGCTGCTCCAGAGACTTCCCTGGCTGTCCCGGAAAGGTGGGCACGCATGAGTCACTCCTGCACAGGCAACAAGGGGCACATGGTTTATCCCTGCCTTCAAGCATCCCTTCCCCTGAGCAGAACCTGAGCCTCTCTCATATCTACTCCCAACCCAAGATCTACCCCTCTCATCCTTCCTTCTTTCTTTAGCCATCTCTACCGCGAGATAAAGATTTTACATCCAGGCCCTGCTGAGAACTTTTATCGACTCATCACTCAATCCTAACACCTCCTCACACTTAGATCAACTGGAAGCCTCTCCCCTTCCTGTTTCTTTAAAATTCATCAGAAAGAATCTCTCCAGATCTCTCTCTATTCACCCATTCCACTTTTTTTCCAGCAGGGGGCAGTAAAGCTTCATTGATTTTTCTCTTCCTGGCCACTTCCTATTAATGGAAGACCAGCTTTCACAGTAAAAGCAAAGACCAAATGTCACCAATGATTTTAATGATTACCTTTATCTTAAGAGAGCCCCTAATAAGAGTATTTCAGGGTCTGTAAGTCATAAGCGTTATATTCGTTCAGGACACAGGGGAGAGCAAGAGTGAGCAGGGACCTACCGGTGTTAATACATCCAAGAAAACTGAAGAGGTGATCCTTAAACAGTGGAGCCGTAATAGTCAAAATCCAAAAGCCCGGGTCAGCAGTCTGCAAGCAGGAGTTTTATTGGGTGTGTATCCTAGTGAACTGGGGCAGAGGGAGCAGACAAAGGGGGAAGGAAACTTGGGATTAATCTTCGTGGCTCACAGTCACAGCTAAAAACATTTCTCAAGATGACATGAGGAAAGAGAGAGGAGAGAG